TTTACAAGTATTAGGCTGCCTTAAGAGAAAGAGAGTTAAGGCAGCCTCTAACCATAACTCTAAACTCCTTACATTGTGAATACTTTTTAGACACAAGCAATGGAGAGAGAGCCACGAAATTAGACTGAGAGAACTTGTATTGATACTGGATAAATGTTACAAGAGGTGGTGAAGTCTTTAAATAGACAATCACTTACAATAAAAAAAAGATTAAATCATGGAATGACTAAAAAAATATTATTGTGGGGTTTCTGATGAAGACAAAGAGGATAGAGCCAAGCTCTGGATCGTCCAGGAAGAGGAGAAAGGGACATGAGGAAAGGTGTGGTCTCCATGGTGATAGTGACATGTCTACTGAAACTTCTTATGCACCCATGTGACTCTTTCTTACTTAATTCAAACCAGCTCCTTTCTTTTGAATTCAAACTTGTTTCCTTGAATTCTCAGATGTTCCCAACGTCCATAGTCAGTCTCCCAAACTCCATTCTTGCCTTGCAAGTCAGGTTAGGTCAAGTGGTAGCTTGTGGAGCAAGACTGCACAAACATAGCCAAATTGGCTTCTCTTGCTGAATTCTCTTTGGATCATCAACCAGCTTCTTCTTCTAGTCATTCTTTATTTATTTCAACAGGGTTAAGGCCCTGGGTCCCTTCGGAGCAGGGGTCTAGAGGCCGGTGCCCAGTCCGGAGCCTGGAGGAATCTGGTGCCTGGATATTTTTTTCCAACAGTTATGGGTATCAAGGAAGAGGACGAGGTCGGTGTGGATATCAAACGAGGGGTACTACTATAAATAAGAGAGAGATGCGTCAAGAGTTGTATGTTTCAGATGTGATAAGATGGGACACTTTGCTCAAAGTTGTCCAAATCGATTGCTTAAACTACAAGAAACACAAGAGAATGAAGAAGATACTACTCAAGGTGCAGATGAGTTAATGGTGCATGAGGTTGTAAACCTCAACAAACGTCACATAATGCCAAGTAAGCTCGAAGCTGAGACGACATTAGATAATCTATGGTACCTAGATAATGGAGCTAGCAACCATATTACATGTAACATAAACTACTTCGAGAAACTTGACAAAAGAATAATGGGAAAAGTGAGATTTGGCGACGATTCGCGTATTGATATAAAAGAAAATGGGTCAATACCGTTTGTAACTAAGAACGGAGAAAGAAGAGTGCTATCCAACGTCTATTGGATCCTGTATCTTAAGAGCAATATCATCAGCTTTGGTCAAGCCACAGAGTCTGGATTCGAGGTTAATATGAAGGAAGACGTTCTGCTCTTATATGATCGAGACAGCAGGCTGATAGTAAAAGCGAAAAGGTCAAGAAATAGATTATACAAGGTAGTTATGGAGGTTGAAATACTGAATGTTTACAGCTTATACGAGAATCATCGAAGTGGCATGAACGTCTAGGACATTTTGGGAGAAATAACTTAAATACGATGATAGACAAGGGTTTGGTTATTGGGATACCACGGCTTGAGGTTGAGAAAGATATATGTTCATCTTGTTTGCTTGGTAAGCAGGTACGGAAGTCGTTTCCACAAGCAAGTTCGTTCCGAGCAACAAGTAAACTAGAGCTAGTACATGGAGACTTGTACTAGCCGGTGGAAGTAGATACGATTTCTCTTGATCGATGATCATTCTCACTACATGTGGACAATCCTAATGAAAGAAAAGAGTGAAGCGTTCTCAAAGTTTAAAAAATTCAAAATCAGTGTTGAGCAAGAAACAGGTACTTCGATCAAAACCTTAAGGACATATAGAGGAGGTGAATTTACGTCTCAAGAGTTTCAAGATTACTGTAATAACACAGGGATCAAACGACACTTAACCGCTCCATACTCTCCACAACAGAATGGAGTGGTCGAGAGACGTAACATAACTTTACTCGAGATGACATGAAGTATCTTGAAGCATATGGATGTTCCTAATTATCTTTGGGGTGAAGCGGTGAGGCATGCTACATATCTTATAAATAGGATAGCTACAACAACCCTGGTTCTGATGACACCTTACGAGGATTTCAGAGGAAAGAAACCTAATGTTGAGCATATAAGGGTATTTGGGTGTGTTGGATACGCAAAAGTCGAGACGCCTCACTTGAGAAAGTTAGATAACCGGTTTAGAGCTCTTGTTCATCTTCGAACAGAGCCCAGGTCAAAAGCCTATGGTTACTTGATCCAACAACTCGAAAGAATAATTGTAAGCCAGGATGTAGTTTTCAGGGAAGATCAAAGCTGGAAGTGGAATGAAACAGGCAAAGAAGTAGCGTCAAAACCTGTTGAGATTAGTTTTGGATTTAGAGAGAGTGATGATCAAGCTATACTAACCGAAGAAACTATAAGTAATGAGAATGAAGAAAGAGAGTCTCCTACCAAAAACGAAGAGGTTAATGAAGAAGACAAAGAATAAGAACCGTTCTTACCCTTAAGACATTCAACCCGTATGATCAACAAGCCAATTTATCTAGATGACTATGAACTACTATGCGAAGAAGACGACTATGAAACAATATGTGAGATCGAGTGTGAACATCTTCTTCTCCTCCTAAACAAAGAACCTTGGAGCTATGAGGAAGCAAAAGAGTTAAAGGTGTGGAGAGATGCATGTGAAGAAGAAATCAAGTCTATCATAAAGAACAACACATTGGTTGATCTTCCATCAACTTGCAAAGAAATTGGCTTAAAGTGGGTTTTCAAAGTAAAGAGAAATTCAGACAGAAGCATAAACAAGTATAAAGTGAGACTCGTTGCGAAAGGATATATACAGACGCATGGTGTCGACTTTGATGAAGTCTTTGCACCAGTTGCGTGTATAGAAACAGTGAGATTGATAGTTGGTATAGCTGCAACTCATGCTTGGGAGTTAGACCACCTTGACGTCAAAACTGCCTTTCTTCACAGTGAATTAAAGGAAGAGGTTTACGTCTCGCAACCAGAAGGATTCGTGATCAAAGGGAGTGAGTCTAAAGTTTATAAACTCAAGAAGGCACTGTATGGGTTACGTCAAGCTCCGAGGGCTTGGAATGAGAAGTTGAACTCAGTCTTGTGAGGGTTAGAGTTTGAAAAGTGTCTAAAGGAGCCATCGATTTATCATAAAGAGAGAGATGGATATCTCTTGATCGTGGTCGTATATGTGGATGATCTCCTCGTGACTTGTTCGAGTTTGGACATGATATATGAGTTCAAAAGAGATATAGCAACGAGATTCGAGATGAGTGATCTAGGTAAATTAAGCTATTACCTTGGGATAGAAATCATTCAAGGAGAAGGAAGTGTAGTGCTAAGCCAAGAGAGGTATGCGGCTAAAATCATTGAAGAAGCTGGGATGAAAGATTATAATGCTGTTCATATGCCAATGGATGCAGGTCTGAGACTTTGACGAGCAGAGAAAAAAACATGGTGTTGATGTACGTGACTACCGAAGGAACATTGGTTGCCTTCATTACTTACTACATACAAGATCAGATATTGCGTTTAGTGTTGGCGTCCTAAGTAAGTATATGCATGATCCGAATGAATCCCATAAGGCTGCGTTGAAACAAGTGCTAAGATATTTACAGGGTACACTTAGCATTTGTAAAGATGAGTCTTCTTATTCACGTTTGCTATTGTGACAACACTTATATGTACATAAAGTTATATACACTAAGATACAGAACATAACCGATCTATATATACGGCCAAATATTTATTTAAGGCTACAAACATCTAAGTTGAATAGAAAAACACTTAACTCAAAATATATATTTATAAAAATTTGCAAACAAACTTTAATTTATAAACAAGTTTATGATAACAAATTCATGCTAAAGCACATGATGCATCATGATTGGTTATTCGTTTTCTCTTATAAATTTTAAGATGTGAGATTAATATGTAGTGTACATCTTAAATAGGATAAAAATAATATTTTTTCTAGAATGCGTGAAAATTAAAAGAAACATATATAATTGTGGGCTTATATTGACATTATATTGATGTGTCATTATAATTTCTATAAAGAATAGTAATATATGTAGATAAAATTGTTGTAAAAAAATTATGAATCTCAATTTTATCTAAATGTATGCATTTCTCATAATTTTTATTTTTATTATTATGTTTTGGTCCCAATTGTCTAAACTACCGCTAACTAAATAGAAATTTTTATATTTACATGAGCTATATTTACCCTTAATTTTTAAAAAATTAAATAGATACTTATAATCATATAAAAAAAATCTAGTTATGGTAAAAAAAGAATACTGTACAAAGGATTCCTCAAAATGTGATTCCCGCGGTCACGTGCATTGTAGGGCTCGAAATAATTATGGGCCCAGAGCTTAGGCTCGAGTAATAGCCTATGGGCTGTAGGTTTCTGTCTATAGGTTTCTGTGTCGCACGTGCGAAGTAAACCAGGGCCCACAAACTCTGAGTATATTGTATACATGATTCCAATGTTGACCTGACTGTAGCGGGAGGTGCTTTGTTTGGGACCACTAAATCTGAACCGTTCAAACTTACATCGTCGTCAGATCTAGACCACAACTACCGGAGAGATGTTCAAAAGGCATCTTTTCTTTTCTTCTGCAGCTTGACACATGCTCTCGACCATGCACTCACATATAACTCCGTTCGATTAACCTAACAAATTCTAATCTTACGGTAACGAACCCAAAGTCAAGATTTATCCCTTTTCGCCGAACGTTAACTTGTAAACAGTAAGTGAGGTCATAGATTCACCACCTCTTTTTCACCTTTTCCTCAATATGCCAAATGTAGTTGCAAAAAAAATTAAAAATTTAGTGTTAGCCTAATAACGTAACGATATCAAATGGGTACGTATATTACAATCTGTAGAAAAGAATCCAAAAACAATAACAAAAGCTTATAACTTTTGCCTCTGTTTTCTCCTCGTGAAGGAAAAACTCTTTTAGCGTTTCTCGCTCCTCGAGAACTACACAGCACAAACAAAAACTCACAAAAAGTGTGAAGTAAATAAACAGAGAGAGAAAGAAGAAATAGAGAATGACAGCATCCGGAGGAGGTTCCACGGCGGCGGGAGGAGCAGGAGCGACGGGGAGGATGCCGACATGGAAGGAGAGAGAGAACAACAAGAAGAGAGAGAGACGGAGAAGAGCTATAGCAGCTAAGATATTCACCGGACTCAGATCTCAAGGAAACTACAAACTCCCTAAGCATTGTGACAACAATGAAGTACTCAAAGCTCTTTGCGTCGAAGCTGGCTGGATCGTTCACGAAGACGGCACAACTTACCGAAAGGTTCGAACTTCACTTCCCTAATTTTTTTTTATAGTAAATTCAAAATTTTCGCACATGAGTTAAAGTCTTTCTTTTCTCGACAGGGTTCCCGACCAACAGAATCAACACCGCCGCGCGTGAGCGCCTGTTCGTCAATCCAACTCAGTCCACATCCATCAGCTTTTCAAAGCCCAATACCGTCGTACCAAGCGACCCCAAGCTCCTCATCTTACCCAAGCCCGATCCGGTTTGACCCGAGTCAATCCTCAACGTATCTCATCCCTTACCTCCAAAACCTAGCTTCCTCTGGAAACCTAGCCCCTCTCCGAATTTCCAGTAGTGCCCCTGTCACACCTCCACTTTCATCTCCTAGAGGCTCAAACCCGAGACCACCCAAGTCGCAGATCAGCAACTTTCCAGTCTCAGCACCTTCAAGCCCAACACGGCGTCTCCACCACCACTACACATCGATTCCTGAATGCGACGAGTCGGATGTCTCCACGGTTGATTCTTGTCAATGGACTCGTTTTCAACCGGTGAATGTTTCTCAGACATGTCCGCCGTCGGCAACTTTTAACCTCGTCAATAATAGCGTTTGCGTTAGCCGCGGAGACGTCTCAGTGAAGCCGTGGGAAGGTGAGAAGATTCACGATGTTGGTGTCGATGACTTGGAGCTGACGTTAGGTAACGCGAAAGGACGAGGCTAAAAGCTTGAGAGGGTAATATCGTAATTAACTAGTAGAATGGAGATTGGTCCGGTTACGTGTATCCGGTTTAACCGTAATTTTGGGAGGATGACCATCTTGGTCTGCTTCATGCATTCATGGCCAAGGCACAGTCAGTATCGTTATCAACGCTTCATTTCACAAAAGCTAATTTTCATGTAATTTACCCTATATTTATTTAAAGAAATGTGATGGTTGAATGAAAATATGTAAGTGTGTGACTGAAAATGAGAGGGACCATTCCCCATGTGGTGTTGAGGGCATGTGAATCTTTTCTATTGCTCTCTCTAACCACGCGTGACTCTTCAATGTGCCTACCTATCATACACCGATGTTTAGTGGACCTGTAATTTTCACTACTTTAAAGAAATAGTGAGAAACATTATCCATGCAGGAATATACAAAGTGACTCTTTTGATTGTTGTTGAAGAATGTTGTTTTGCTAATATAAACATGAGAGGTTGGTTGGTTCATGTGTACCGAGAGTTTTGCCAGTATCATCTTTCTTTGGTCAACTTCAGCTTTAATAAGAGTCCGACTATATGAAAAGGTACAGAGTTTTCAGAGAGGCCCCAATTACAATTTTTTTTGTCATCTGAAGACTATATTACATAGTTGAAAACCAATCGAGACAAACCTAAGCCGGTAAAGGTACACACACCTTTCTGGAGCCATAAAGCCGGCAGATAAACATTATCCCCGGAACCAACCAAAGATGGCTTATACAAATCGACTAAATAAACATAAACCAAGGAGATAGCAAGATTAACGGGACTTTCTGCACCAAACAAACTAACAATAGGAATGTGATGCCAGATGGTAAAGCCGGAATAAGCGAGAAGGCATTGACAGTCTAAATTATTAGAGGTGAAAGAAGAGATCTATACAGCACTATGAGCATCCACCACTAAAGAACAAGCTTCAACTTGTAAGCCACGAGAAAGTGAATCTCCACCCGAGCAGATGACGAAGAGACAGTTTACAATCAAACTACCCAAAGACCGAACGCGATTGAGAAAAAGCTTCACAGTTCCTTATCGAACATGCTGGAAAAATCCATCGGTTAAACACCAAGGAACAGCACAACCTCGCCTCACCAAAGCACCACAAAGAACATTACACCTTGAAGCCCAAAGATCAAGCATCGAACCCTTACCAAAGACAAGTCCGATAAAGAAGAAGACGCCACAAAGGTCAGACGACAACACCAAAAACTACAGTCAGATGAACCCAACTGCGTTCAATAATAACGACCAGTCATCACAACCTCGAGACCAATCGTATCCAGAAAAACAAAGTAATCAAGCCATACTCCAACAGTAAGACACAGACCACGGCTAAACAAATCCCTAACCACCATTGACTTGCCTGAGAAACGCCTCTCCAACACCGATGGAAGAAGTAATAACCCACATCTGAGCCGGTTTATAATCTTTTGCTGCACACCAGAAAACAGTTTGGAAGCTAGAGAAACAACCCAACTGTAGATCCTAAAATCTACACTCAGTATTTTGTAGAGATCGGGAGTTCAATCAGGGGAAGACAAAGGATGTGGGAAACGATGCTCTTAAACACAACGATATAATCGGACTTCGGTTGACAAAAATGGAATTTTATTGAATGCATAATTCGTTTACAAGATGATGAAAAAGATCGGAAATAACAACAAAGAGTACAGAAAGCGAAGTAGAAATCTAAGAGATGAGGTCGATGTGATTAGTAAATTGCTCTAGGGTTTTTCTCGTCCGTGTTAAATGTCATCCTAGCTCTCTCTTTATAGTCCTTCGTTCTCTAGCTGCTTCAGTGATCTCTAGGATCCCGTTCCGACCTCGTAGAGTCCGCTGGTCACGATGTGATGATAAAACATGGGCCTGGCCTTGTTTTGGACATCGGGCTCAACTCTGTTCTCGTTGTACTTCCTTGAACTTGCTTGTTTACTTCTTTGACGAGCTTGGACTTAATGGGCCCAATTTTGGGTTCAACATTTGCCTCCCAGCCTTTTTAGTTTAGAGAAACTGAAGAGGCGAGAAGCTACATCCAACTGTTTGTCATCGCCCATCTCGGAGAAAGCGGCGCCACGTGTATCATCCTTGTCGGCCACTTTCCTCCATCGTGCGGTTGAGCTTGTTTGTCGACGTCATCCGCTTTGGGAACCATTTTTAGATCCTCATTAAATAAGTCATCTTCTTCGTTGAGAGCATCCACATTCTTGCGATTTCTTCAAATTTCTTTTTCTTTTCTTTCTTCTTAGTTTTCATGTTTTAATTCCTCATCTCTCAACTATCATCAAGGGAAAACATCTTGATAGCATTAATGAGTTGTGGGGGATCCCCTACGAGGTGCAAATCGACATCCGATAGGCGACGAAAATCCTGAGAGCGTTCGCAACGGGTACTGTGGCGCTTATGTGACGTATTTTAAAGACTGCGGTCTGTTGGGGTCAAAATCGGTTACGACAAAATCAACGACCAAAAATTTCCCCAAAGTTAAGAATAGGTTTTAAGAAATACGAAAAAGCTTCGAAAGAAATCTAAAGACTTCCCGAACTAAGGAATTTTGTAAACTTAACAATCACCATCTTGGAAATCATCAGAAAACCGAATAAAACAATCTGTGGTTGTCCAAATGGCAAAACTAGCAAAACACGGCCGTAACGTCTAAATTCCCTAAAACGGTAAAGCCGTTATTAAGATCGAAAACGATAACCTCGATATCAACGACTACGATTATTTTACTTTAATTTCTCCGAAAAGATCTCGGGTCGAGAAACGATCGAAACCAAATGACTGACCAGCTCACCAACAGGCGAGCTGGCCATGCTTGACCAGCTCGACTGTTGGCGAGCTGAACTAACCAGTCCAGCTCGCCTGTTGGCGAGCTGAACTACCAAGTCCATCTCGCCGACAGGCGAGTTGGCCAGCCTTGACCAGCTCGCATGTTGGCGAGCTGAACCATCCAGTCCTGCTCGCCAACAGGCGAGCTAGCCAGCCTTTATCAGCTCGCCTGTTGGCGAGCTGAACTTTCCAGTCAAGCTCGCCAAGAGGCGAGCTGGACAGCCTTGACCAGCTCGCCTGTTGGTGAGCTGAACTATCCAGTCCAGCAAGCTGATTCGTCTCGTCCAGCTCGCCAACAGGCGAGCTTACCGTGCTCGACTAACGCGCCTGTTGGCGAGCTGAACTAAACCATCCATGCTCCTCGACTCGATCGTACTCTGAACCGTGATCTTAACATCTCTCTTGTCGTCTCGATCTGTCTTACCGTTAGAGTTTTACGACAAAAACCGTAAAAAACCGGTTTTCTCATAAAACGTCGAGTAAATCATAAAAAACGGCAACGGTTATCGAAACACTGAACATTGCCAAATTTTATGATTAACTCGAGATATTTTATAAAAAGCGCTAAAGACTCGTTTTCTCGGAAAACCTTGAGTAAATAGTACAAAACAACAACGGTTAGACAAAACAGCAAACATTCCAAAACTTTAGGATTAACTCGAGATGTTTTCTAAAAACGCCATCGTATCAGGAAACGATCTCATTTAGACTCGTAAAACGGCTACATCGCAGAACGGCTCGGAAAGACGTAAAACGCAATAAAAATCTACTCACGACTTTAGACGAGATTCAGCCCGAAGATAAGATGACTGTTTAATCATTACTCGCAGAAGTGGGAAAATGTCAAGTTTGAAGATAAAATAGAAGTTTTTCAAAGAAAAATGGAAAGATCGAGAAAAATGGAAGATTTCCGATAAGCGCGAACCGGAGCAGAAAAGGAAAGACCAACCCGCTAGAGAAGGAGTATATAAGCAGAAGGTCGAGGAGAGGAGAAGGGAACGATTTTCAGAACTCTTATCACACAGAAAAACTTATCGTTTAGGCAATTTTCCATTTTTGTTATCGAGCTGCGTCTCAACTAGGGTTTTAGTCTTAGGTTACTAGAACTAGGAAACTCGGCGTCAGCTCTGGTAGGCTAGGCTTACCTTGTTGTACCGTTCTTACAC